ATATAATAATAATAATAATATATTTGCGTTATAACATTTTTTTTTTATTTATACTTATAGTGTCGAATTAAAATAATATAGAGCAAATTATAAATGTGCGTGTGATTCTTTCTGCTGTGCTCAAAGCAGATAAATGCAGGAAATATAAACACAACTAGAAGAGAACAAGAAAGAGAGAAAGAGAGAAAACAAGGATAGCATACGTGTATATAGCGAATTATTTATCTTACATTCTTCTAAGGCACAGATACACACACACAATCAGATCCGCTATGTGTGTGTATGTGTGTGTGTGTGTGTGTGTATCATCACATCTTATTTATTTGTTTTCTAGTCACATTTCTAGTCCTTTGATTAGGAGTCGCTAATTACATTTTGTTGTAACAGCCACTTGATAACGTTATGTACGTGCAAAATCTTGATCGTTAGGATATGTTACATCATTTATAATTTAAGTATATTATATATAAATAATCAAATCTTTAGAAATTTAAATAAATTTGTCGAGTTTGAGCCATACAACTTAATGTCATTCAAACTCACTTATTTAGGATGAACTAAAATCTATTGCATGGATTAAAATCTATTGGATGGACTAAAATCTATTTGCTTACTACTTTCCCGTCCACTACCGGTATTTCTCTCTGAGAATTTTCGGACTTTCGCTGTAGTCGTCAAAGGGATTGTCGGCTGCGTGTAAATTGAGCCTGGCAAGGCAACATGAAATATTATTACTCGCGCGAGTCTCCCTGTGACAAATGCTCATTCTTACGCGATAAATATCCGATCTGTAGTCACACGCACGTATGTACATACACGGACACACGTTACACCTCGAAGCGCGTCGCGATTGATGACGTTCGCCAAGAATAAGTTGATACAAAACGGCTTTCTGACGAACGCGATATTAAACTCTGTCGCCGATAACAGTGGCGATAATTTCACTTCATAATTACAAGTGGACAGTGCGAATATTCATCGCGGAAAAATTCTGCTTGGTGTCGAGCACTAATGTCAACATGATCGTATAAAGTTTAAACATCTCGGTAAATTAACACAGTGATTTTCCACCAAGTTTTTCATAAAAAAAAAAAATCTGTTCCATTTTTTCGAACATATTATAACGGAACAAAATACAATGCTATTGGGATTAACAGAAAGAAAATTGTCAGATGTACAAAAATCTTTTATCTTTTATCTATAAATTCTTGTATCAATTGAAAAAACGGTTTTTTTTTTCTTTACAAAAATGAAAAATTTTTAAGAATTACAAGCATATAATAAAATCTTATTTTTTTATTTAGTTTTAAATGAATTATATAATTTAAGATTTAAAGAATTAGAGTCGCAAAAATGCAATTTAAAATTGTCAACTTATCAATAATCTCTTTTGGCAATTTTCCACTATGAAAAAATCTTTTAACTTTTTTAATTTAAATCGAAAAACATTCATAGATGAAAATCGCATACTTCTAAGGATTTGTTAATCGAGAAATTAAGAGATACGTGAAAAAGTAATACATACTTTCTTCGAGAATTCGCGCTACGTCAATGGCGCAAAAATCCGTGTAGGGCGCGCGGTCCAACATAAGTCACAATTAACGAAGGCGTTAAGTCGGGTCCCTATTAATAAGCGTCGTCGAAGCGCTCCTATAAATAGTTACGAAGCGACAACAGCATTGTCAGCGACGCAGGTCGGCAACGCGTGCATCGGTAGGTCGGGCCGCTAAATGCGCCTATTTTTGCCCCGATGACACATCGTTGCCGATTGCACGCGAGTTAAATAAGAGCCCTCCCGAAAGAGAATTCTTTCTTCGATTCTTTCCGTAATCAAACCCCCTCACTTCTTCCTCAATATCTTCTTCTCCTCTCTTGGCACGCACGGTAAAATGTCCACATATAGGTCGGATGATATTAGATGTTTTTTGAAATTATTTCTGTGACGGAGAGTTTTTGAAAATTCTTGGAGAAAAGGAAGAAAATTATTTCTTAAATATTATTTAAATATTATTGTATTATTAAATATATTTAGAATTAAATATTATTATTAAATATAATTATTATTAAATATAATTAAATATTATTATATATAAATATAATTATTTCTTAAATTGGAAATTTAGTGGCACACAATAAGTGACATTTTCTATTTAGTGGCTTAATATGCTCGAATCAAAAATTCCTCCAATTCGATATATTTATTGGCTGATCGATCACGTTCCGAGATCAGCCTTTCTCCGGCTCATAGCTCTCTCGGCACCCTCGAAGAGTCGTTGGAACGCGTCGCGGTGCCAATTGGGCGAGCGCCTCGATAGGTGCGCACACGTTGCGCAACGTGAAATCTCGGGGTACAAGAGCACGAATGTCTAGATGACGAATTGTCTTATCTTCAATAATTTTCTTTGCGCATTTAAAAAAAAATGCTATTTGTAAATTACTTAATTTAAGAATTTTAGTTTTTGAAGGCGGAGGGGAGTCCAAATTCTGAAAACATCCACAATTTCTTGTGTCAAATCTGTTTTTTAGAACTATATATAATTTTATATATACATATATATGCAGCACGCGATAATTTACGCGCAAAAGTGTCGCATGGGCGACATCCTTCTGGGAGAGGAAGAGAGGATGAGGCTCGCGAGGATGACGCGTGTGGGTGGAGGATGCGAGCGATTTACGCGCAGACGTACGAGACGTAACACGCTCCGATCTCGCGCGTCTCTCTTCTGGGTGTCGGTCTCTGTCGCGCACGTAGACTGGGATTCCGCAAAATCTCTTAAATCGACTCGTGGGTGTCGATCCATCGCGACCGTCGACGGAGGAGCCGACGACAAATGAGGAAACGGCCAACTAGCCGAGTCATTTCCACCATTTACGAGCATCGCGCGCGCGTCACTTCGCCTCTATCCTCCTCGGAGAGTCGGTGGGAGCTCTCTAGTCCTCATTCCAGGCAATTATAAATTATTCGTGATTAGCTGGCGTGGACTTGGCCGGAAGTAGCGGCGCGACACGTTCTCCCTCGACGCGGAGGAGGATAAGTCGGATTTTCTGTGACGGAGACGCGGGGGTCTTCCCTCACTTGACCCCTTCGCCTCGTCGTAAGTCATTTGATGTCGGGGTCACTGCTTCCGAATCATTTCACGCGCTCTGAAGGTATACGTTACAAATGTGTAATTTCCGTTAAAAGTGCCCAAGAATTGTCTTACACGCTCAAACGTCTTATATGCTCTCTCGTGCGATGATCATTTTTGTATTATTTTATTTGAAGTATTATAATTAGGATTAAAATATAAATGTAGGAATATATTATATTATTATAGGTTTGTTTTATAAAAATTATTCGTGTATACTTTGAAAAGATTTTTGCTTTAACAAAGACCTAAATAAGAGATGTCAAGGAATATTCTGGCCTGTTGAATACAGCCTTGCGATCCAGGATCGCGGGAAACCGAGCGATTTTACCGGAGCGAGCACAGGTTAATGGCACGAGTTTTACCGTCTTCGTGTCGTTACGAGGACGATGCTAAAGGACATGCGTAACGGGCGAGGTAAGACCAGATTTGCGTAATGTCGTTACGCGTACACGCATGTGACGCGAGTTCGTAAGGTCGCGGTCGCCTTGTTACGTAGAACTGGTCCTGCCAATAGAGTGACACTTGCGAAGCGAATCATTTTAGTAAATCTGTAGTTCGATCCTCGATCAAGGATGTCTATCCCCTGGAAAAAAATAGAAAACTTGGAATATATTCTCAGGGAATTTTTTTGTATTTGGAGAAATCAGAAAATTCTCATGGAAATTTATTGGAACTCAGGGAATTTTTTTTTAAATTCTTTCTTCGATCATTTTGCTCTTATATTGTAAGCAGCCGGCAATCCGCCAATAAGCCAAATTCTGAATTATGTATTTAAAATATATTATAAATATAGGTATATCTATCTCTATTTATATATTTAATATCTTAACAAAATATTGAATATGCAGTATATATTCTTTATTTTAATTTTTAATTAAAAAAAATGAAAATTGTAATTCAAGTTAAAAATTTTTATTTTAACGAAAGCTATTCAGTTTTTTTTTTCAGTACATTTGTAAATCTAACACTTGAAATTCAAGTGCTAGATTTAATGTTTTCTTTCATAATAAGTGAACAGCATTAGAAAACGTGTACAATAAAAAAATATTAGAAAATCGCACGAAAAAATTTTTTTGGGTATTCTCTTTATTTATCTGGAATTTTGAAAATATCTGAAAAATCAGGAAATTTTTTTTCCAAGATTTGAGTAGACGTCAGTACTCGTCAATAGAAGAAGACAGAGTTTTGAGAACAACGAATATACTTATGTATATATATATATATCTTTTTATTATTAATTGCAGAAGCTCTAGGAACCGGAAGTTCCTCGTGGCATAGCGAGGATGGCGGGCCCAATTCCCGCCGCGGTGGCGAGACACCGTCCTCCTGCGCGACTCCAACATCGGCGAGTTTCCCGTCGGAGCCTGAGGTCGACACCGACGTCAATCCCGACGGCACCAATCCCGCCGCCCCCTATCCCTGCCAATTCTGCGACAGGAAGTTTCCGCGTCTTAGCTATCTGAAGAAGCACGAACAGGTAAAGATATAGGTCTTTTCCTCGATTACTCAGATTTTTCCAATTGTTAATTGATTATTGTTGGTGATATAAATTGTAAAAATAATATCTAGAGATTCAAGTACAGTTATTTGCGTAATAAAATGTCTAGAGAGATAAAGATCTTAATTTAGAGGAGAATCTAGAAGAGAATCGAGCGTTCTACTTCGAAATTCGCGTTAGCATAAACTCTCTACGAGATGACATTATGAAAGTTGTATTTAATTATAAAAATTAAATTATAAAAATTGCTACAACTTTAAGAACATACTTTGCATCGACTTGCGATAACGTTGCGATATCGAGGTCAGACTAGTGCGGAAAGAAAAAGGAAGAAACGAAACCAAAAGGATTCATTCGTCACGGGTATTTAGTATGCGCGTCACGTATATCGCGAGTAAAGCTCTCTTTTCACGCGGTGTGAGAAAAGGTCCGAGGTGTGATTCTGCAGGTTGACGAGTCCCGTACGCGGGCAGGTTAACGCGTTTCCTTCTGGAAGACGCGTGCGAGTCTCTCTCTCTCTCTCTCTTTCTCTTGGATTTTTTCTATTTTGCATGGCGGTGACATTAGCTCGTTCTTCCGCGTCCCGAGGCGGGTCATCGTCGGGTCAGAATCTGTAACATCGTACCCATAACAGGTTGTACCAGTTATCAGGTTACTTGTCCAGGTGGCAGTCGTCCCCTTTGGTTCCTTTTCGTGACAGTCCGTTGCTGAATACGTATACCCATGTATACTTACATATGTATATATATATATATGTATAGAAACCCGCGAGCTAGAATCGTGTGCAGATACAACTCCGATAATCAAGACGAGTCCTCGTCGAGTCTAGGCAGAGATAGCTGCCTATTTATTCTACGCACAATGCTAGTTTTACTCTACCCAAAGACGTGACGAGTAATCTCAATCTTTGCGATCTTGTCGCATTGAACGGCGAAGACGAAACGTCAACGAACATTCGAGGATGTTTTAAACTTAAAGATATTGCAAATTTTAGATTAGACATTCTAAGTCTCGAATTTTATCAAATTAATTCAAATCTTTATCAACTAACAATCTGTCTTGTTAAAAATATATCTCATCATCTTTTGACACAATCTCATCATCTGTTTGACTCGAATTCTCTCTCTGTCTCTCTCTCTCGGTCAATCTTTCATCTTCAAGCGATCTAAAACGTCGTTGCCAGTTACTGCTCGGTTCGATCAGCTGAATCGCCAGATGTATTATGCCTTTTCCTCGCCGTTCCATCGGCATACCGTCCGTCCGGTGATCCTCCTCGACCGGACCGAGCGAGAGACCAGGCGGCTATCGTTTCGCCCGTCGTCCAGATTGTCTCTTCAAAGGAGCCGACGGCTCGAAAGTCGACCGCACGGTCTCGTCGGTACGTGCCGAGCTTACCTACCTTGTCGCGCGGCACCGTTTCGTGCCCCTGAGCCGCGTGCGACGAGCGTTTTACGCGAGCGGGGGAGCACAAAGAAGGTGACCGTATGGGATCATATCGGTCACCGTGATCTGGGTGGGTGACGCGTCCTCGCGGCCGAGGCCGACAGAGAACCGACGCTTACCTCTCTTTTCCTTTTTCTCTCTCTCTCTCGTGTCTTGCTCTATGACTTCTTTTTCCACTGACTCTTCAGGCGCGCCCGACAAGGCTCGTCGTATTTAACTCGCACTGCGTATTGAAATGTTAAGCATGAACCAGGCTATTGTATACGTCAAGTACCTTTCTGAGGTTTGGTCGAGATAACTTTCGTCTCGTAGATAGCTATAGACTTAGTCTTATACGTCTATAAATACGCGGTAGAACCTTGAATAATATATTGCAATTTCTAAGCGATATACAGAATTTTTTTGAAACGTTCTGTGATTCTTCATTAAGTCCCAAGGATGCAATAATCCTTCTGAAGAGTTTTACGATTATATACAATACTTATTATTGTTATTTTATTCGCTATATCTTTTTCATTTCTATGAACAAAATCGTTTTGATAGGATTAGTATTGAAATGTAATATAATGATTGTATTGATTTCAGAGTCACGGTGATCAGATGCCGTATCAGTGCAGTTGGTGCAACAGACTGTTCAAGCACAAGCGTAGCCGCGATCGTCACGTAAAGCTGCACACTGGGGACAGGCGATATCGCTGCTCGAAATGTGAGGCTGCCTTCTCTAGGAGGTAAGCGCGAAATCCTATTGACGATACCTCTCCGCAGTATCTTATTGTTCCTACTGCCAATCAATCATACAGATTTAACCAACAATGACTCATAGGCTGCTCAGGCTGATAGAGAAACTTGACAATTTTAAAAATCTTCTTCTGATTATTACTCAAATTATTCCTCTCTCTTCTGACGTGTTCATCGATAAGAGATACGTTTACGAATTATCGTAAAGCCCAAACATTAAAGTCAGTAAAGATTATCGAAAGGCGTAAAAGAAACAATCGCTCTGGCACAACAACCATAAACGCAACAGATGGCTAAACGAGGTCCTCGACGGGGCCCAACGGGGGCCCCTCCGACCGATTCCACGAGGGACGCCGATCCAACGGGTGACAAATGAGTAATGATCACACGACGACCACGGCCCCGGGTGGCATTAGTCAAGCTTACTCTCTTACGTGGCTCTGTTTCTTCCTCCTTTCCTTCTACCTCCTCGCTCCTTAGTACTCCTCGCGTCGTATCCATCTGTTTGTTTCCCTCTTTCTCACGCGTTATCCTCTCGGTATATTGAATCGTCCCGCGCGCATTGAAATGCTAAGCTGGGTCTGGGAAAGAGAGAGAAAGAGAGAGAATAGGGCCCCGTGCAAAGTACCTTTTTCTAACTGGATACACGCGTGTGCGCTCGCGAGCCCCCGCGGGGCCCCAGGTGAGCAGACAGGTAGGACGCATAGGTGTTACGGGACAACAGGTAGAACATTAGTCAAGCGCCTCGTTGCCGCTCGTCCGCCTTCGCCGGCCGTTAAAGTCGCGCTCGCAACCGATGACAACATACGAATCCCTCGAACGATTCTCCTCATCGTCACGATTCGCGACTTTGCCAGCTTCTTTTCTGCCGAGAAAAAATCAAACTCCACAATTACATGGCAAATAAACAATATTAGACGTAGAATTATAGAATATACAAAAATCGTAATTAAAATTGTCAATTTTTTTGACTTGATTTTTTTATATTTTTAACATAGATTCTTCTCTATATATTTATAATAAATTTTTACGCGATTATATATGTATAATTAATTGAAGGTAAACATATATAAGAAATAATCGCATTTTTTAGATGAACTTTTCATCTGCGATATTCTTTTTTTAAATCTTATTATTAAACTTCTGAATATATAAATTGATAATTTTGAAATGACAATCTCGTGTGGATTTTGTTAAAACAGAACTGCAGAGAATCGAGTTATTGTTAGAAAGGTCCTAACAGAGGCTTGCTTCTCACCTGTCAGCCGCTATTACAATCGTACCGCAAGATCTTTACGCCACATCTCTATTCGTCCTCCCATTTTAACAGTCAGTTTGGGTGATCCAACAAAAGGGTGAAAATCTCCGTGGTTCTCACGCTGAGCGTCTCAGCGAGATCTCTTAACTAAGAGTCTTTGTTTATATATGCAAGATCGTATTATTTCGATCATCTCATTAAAATTTAATTCTAAGAGAATCTCAGCAAGATGAAAATGTTAAAAATACATCACGATAGCTCACAATCATAATGTCTAATTGAGTGATATATGTATATATATTATAGGAAAAAATTATTTTCTCCTTTATAAATTTTTTATTTCAAAAAATCTTAATAGAAGAATAATTTTCTGAAAATTTTAAAAGAAAATTAATTTATATATGTTTTAAGAACGTCACGTGCGTTTTAACTTGTCATCAAAATAGAAAAGTTCGATTCGATCGCGAAACCGGTCAGAAAATTTCACGTATTTTACGAGTAATATCTCGTCACGGTAATGTTTTTATTCTCACGGAATGCGGCAGCGAGACATCACATTTTACGGCAGTCTCGTAGTTCTCATGATCCATCGACGAGCAGCTCGAAGTCACGGATTCGACCTCTAACTACTTCGACGACGACTGTTCGCTTCTTGCACTAATCTAGTTTCGATGAATAAAAACAAAAAAATTTTTTACACGGTCGGTTGATCACAAACATCGACACAGACGCTAAATAAAAATTGCTTGTCGAAATAAAATGACAGATGATATCGACAATTGGGAGATTTGAAAAATGAGTAAGAAGGTGCACAAAATCGAGTAATTGAATCCAGTAAATATTTTTTTTTTGCTGCATAATAAATTATCATCTTTAAAAATTGAATTATTTGAATTATAAATGAAACTATTAAGATGAGAATACGTGCAGAGATCGTGCAGAGATCGTGCAGTCAACGCACCCACGAATCAACGCGATAGGGTGATTCTTTCAACTCTCGCGAGGGTGGAGTTTAACGGTCCATTTATTTCCATTTCCTTTCAGCACCCTAAACACGATCTTCTTCTTGTAGAATGGCTGCGCGCCATTTCGCGCTTGAACTCTACTTTTCTCTCTACGTGAGTTAGGCTCTTAGAAATTACCATGAGACCTTCAATTCTCTTTTCTAGAACTAATTAAACGTAACTACTTTAAAACTTATTCTTTTTAATTTTTAATTTTTATTTCTTTTTTAACAATAATGAAAATCATTAGTTTTGAAGGTAAAATATTTTTTTTGTTATAATAATGATTTCGTAAACCTTAAAGAGAAATCGATATTATAAAACTTTATTTTTAAGAGATTCATTTTTGTAAAACGCTCTTGAAATCTATTACTAAATAATTTCTTTCTACTTTTCAACAATAGCCAAACTATTTGAAGAGAATAAAATTACGATTAAGATCTGTTCGTCTTCTCGCATTTACTACATTGAATAGTAAAATAAATAGAGAGTAAGATGTGCAATTAAAACAAAACAATCTTAATCTGCATTCGAATGTCATCTCCGATCAATGTCGACGTATGAGACGGTCAAGGTGACATCGAATATATAATAGTAGTGCGAAAACAGGAATATGCGTCGCGAGCGGTATTTAATACCGGCTTGACCGGCGCGGACTCGTCGCCGGGTCCATTCTCTTCGTTAAGCGAGCGCGACGCTTTTTACACGCTTTTGAGTCGTCTTTTTTTTTCAACTTTTTCTTTTTTTTCTTCTTCTTCTTCTGCCGTCGTCGGCCGGTCGCAAAACGATACGCTCGATAATAGGACAGCCGCGGTTCACCGGGCGATAATCCTGGTGGCGCATGAATAATTCACGCGCAAAGTGCAGGAGTAAATTCGCCGTCTGTCTTCGTTTCGGCGAGTCGGGACAGCTCGCTGACCGTTCGCTCGCTCAAACCTCGTCGGGCTGACCTCACCTTAAATGCGAATTCAGTTTTCCGCCATCGGCACACACACATACGTCTTTTTTTTTCAACTTTTTCTTTTTTTTCTTCTTCTTCTTCTGCCGTCGTCGGCCGGTCGCAAAACGATACGCTCGATAATAGGACAGCCGCGGTTCACCGGGCGATAATCCTGGTGGCGCATGAATAATTCACGCGCAAAGTGCAGGAGTAAATTCGCCGTCTGTCTTCGTTTCGGCGAGTCGGGACAGCTCATCGCTGACCGTTCGCTCGCTCAAATCTCGTCGGGCTGACCTCACCTTAAATGCGAATTCAGTTTTCCGCCATCGGCACACACACATACGTACACACGATGAATTATTCATTCGCGGAGTTCACCACGAAAATCGGCGGATCCTTACCCTGTCCGAAATCTCTATATCCTTTTCTCGACGCTATTCGACAGACGAATCTTTATTTATCGATGCATTTCTTGTCACGATAGATGAGACGATCGTATAGGAAATTTCGAAAACTAATTATTCGTCCGATGTGTCAAAAGTCTCATGTTCATTCATGCCGATGTTAGTCGAAAATAATGCATCTTTGTTCGTTGATGCGTGTCTTTAGAATTGACAGATCGTAAAAGAAATGTAATACGAGAGAACTTGTCTGTTTTACGATTGATGAAGATCAATGTTTCTACAAGGAAATAAATAAATAAATTCTCGCAAGTGCATTAATTTCAATTATCCGTATTCTGTACCCGATTAACGATCGTGTGACGAGATAAAACATTAGCGAGTCGATTACTACGAGAAACGACGGAAATAATTTTCCTCGTTTTCTCTTTAGGGAAAAACTACGATCGCGACAAGAGACTTTTCAATCTATCTTTCCTGATATCAATTCCCGTCTAATAAGAAGATATATACGCTCTGAGAAGAGAGAAAATTAATATCATAAATCATTAGACATTTCATTGCTATTATATCGTCGTTACTTCACCGCGAAATAACGATTTTCTATATAACGTTTTGGTATACCTAAATATGAAAGAATCGATAACGCGCTTAAAATTCGTATACTAATATAGCTTTGTATCCGTTTGAAAGCGCGGCAAAGGATGATTTTTATATTCCCATCTCTTGATACGAGAATTATTTATTCATTTTCGGAACGCTGTGGAAACGTCATCGTGCAATATGACCACATCTCTCTCCGATATCTCCCTTCTAAGTAATATATTCGGCGCTTTATTAGTAGGATACTTAATTAGCACCCGAGGAAAATATTTTCAAGCAAGTTTCGGCGAACTCTCGCCGTCCATTTTCATTAGTTTTCCCGTCGTTTAATTCTTTCCCTTGAATTGACTCGCCGATCGCTTTACCCGTAAATCTAATCTCCGAGGTTAAGCGCAAGTATCTCGTTCAAAGTTATCAAATTGCCGATAAATTAACTTTGTCGATCACGTCCTACAGTTTTATTATTAAAGACCGCAGCGCGTTAAAAAACCGATCGTTTTACATCCGACTTCCGCACTGAAAGACAAAATATCCTCGTCCGCGAAGCGAGTCTATTTTCCACGTGTGACTGACAGCGCGGTTTCTGATGAGCTTTAATATATATGGACCCTCTCATCGCTTATTACAGAAAATAGAATCTCCTGAATTAGATCTCCGATCTCTCTGTACAACGAAAGGCAATCTATCGTTTCAAAAGATAAGTCAGACATCTATCTACGAAAATAGGATTTAGTGGTCGAGATTTCGGGATTGTGGAAAAAAAAAACGATAGAGTCTGATTTAATTTTGAAGAGTCGTCGCGAAATAATGATGCTACTGTGCGCTATTGTTGTTTTACTTTTAAAATGCAATTAGGATTGATAAGATAAGTAACATTATCGGGTCACATATTTCTAGATAAAAACGTTATTCTCGTCGCATAAATGCGTTTTCAGCGCTAAATTAAAATAAATATCTTTTTTTTTTTAAATAAAAGTTGTAATTTTTTTGTACGTAAGAAAAAATTTTATTTAAATTTATTTTATTTTTTACTTGATACTCTATTATTTACTCGTGTATCATATATATTTTTTAACCATTTATTCTGTACACGGAGAAAAAATATTATAGTAAGAATTACAATATAATTTTTGTAATCGTGAGACATACTAACATATAAGAGAAATCACGCGATATTTGTATTCAATAATATAATTATATACGTATTATACTTAACATAGGAGTATTGTAATTATTCAAATATACATCATTATTAACAAATAATAAAACAAATTAATAATTTACAATTTTTATAAGAATAAATATCCTAAAAATGTTTCGTTCTATTTCAACTTTAAAATAAATATTATAAAAAAGAATATATTTTTCATGTAATTTGTATTGTAAAATTTTCTCCGTGTATTTTGTTAGCGTGTAGTTATACTATATAACTGGATTAATATTTCTAAATTATAAACTGAATTTTATCTTGTAAGTTTCGATTACGAGCTCTCTAACACGTTCCTCCTTTTCCCAGCGATCACCTGAAGATCCACTTGAAAACGCATGACACCCAGAGGCCTTATCAATGCACGGCTTGCACGAGAGGCTACAGTACAGCCGCGGCTTTAACGGCGCACATGCAGTCTCACAAGAAACATCAATCATCGTCGTCGTCTCAATCGGCCGGTCTCAAGCTTCAGGACGTCGACTATGGTAGAAGAAGCGTATCCTCGCACAGCACGTCGTCACCGCCGGTACCGTCGTCGCCGTCGCCGTCATTGAATCTCAGTCTGAACCCGAGGAACGTCCTGAAGACGTCGCAGGGCACCGGCAGTGCCTCCACCACTCCGGTTCTCAGCTCGCCCCTGAAACTCACCTGCATGTACTGCACCCGGGACTCGTTCAGCTGCATGCAGCAGCTGCAGATGCACGTGCACACGATGCACCAGGCGATCCTGAGTGGCGCGGAAGGTCCAGCTCGGCCGCCATCGCCGAGCAGAACGTCCAGCGAGCAGCAGACGACTGTCTGCAAGCCGCTGGATCGTCAGGACGTCACGAAGGAATCGCGACTGGATCGCAAGTACCCGACGTCCGAGGACCGAGGCGACAGGTCGGCTGTCGAGCGGGAGCATTACGAGAACGGGTTCACCTGCAATCAGTGCACCATGAAGTTCTCTACGTTGACCCTCCTACGCGATCATTTGTTGTCGATACACCGAATCGACGGTTTTGGCGCGGCGATGATGATGTGTCCCTTGTGCAGTATACCGTGTTCCTCGGCGGCTTCCTACGCCGAGCACTACGTCCTTCAGCACTGTGAGAATCGCCGACCGGCGCCGACGCACGCTATAGATTACGGGGAAACGAAGCTGAACGGCGGCATTTACGACGGTACCGCGAGGGATCCCTCCCGGATATCGAGAACTCGGGACGCGCCGGAAGCCGCTGATCTCACGAATAAGCACTCGACCAGATCTTCCTCGGATACCGCTGGCAGTTACACTGCTGATACTCTGCTATGCGGCCAATGCGGTGCCGCATTAAAAGACTTCGAATCCTTCCGCGAGCATGTGGCGCGACACTTGCAGGCCGACCACCGTAACCAGGAGATGTCCGGCAGACAACATCTATGTCCCAAATGCGAAGCCATCTTCTCGGACCGCGAGGATATGCTGGCCCACCTGACCAAGCATTATCTGGGCCAGGTCAGCAAAGAGTACGCCTGCAGTGCCTGCAAAAAGCTCTATCCGCATCCAGATCAGCTTCAGAGGCACCTTTTGGATGTGCACGCGCATCATCTGTATCGTTGCGCTCTGTGTCGGGACACCTTCGACTCCAGAGTAGCAATACAGGTGCATTTTGCGGTGAAACACAGCCAAGAGTGCCGGGTCTACCGGTGCAGCACGTGCGCCGTGTCCAACAATGAGAACTCGCCGGGAGGAAACGTGACGACTTCTGGCGAATGTAGGAGCTTCTTCAGGACCGAGGCCGAATTGGCGGCGCACGTGCGTAGTGTGCACGCGCCTCCACCCGCTGTCTCTCTGATGAATAGCAGCCCGGTGGGTGCTGCGAGGAGCCCGGCCTCGACGCCCGGTGGTGGTATCGCGGCGCGTTGTTTCTTCTGCGGGATTTGCTGCGGTTCAGATCTCGAACTCCAGCTTCATTTGGCCAGCCACTCGACCAATCTCTACAGATGTCCCATCTGCCGGGAAGGATTCGCGGTGGAGTTTCTCTTGGACCGACACATCGCCCAGGCTCATCACGCCACCCAGGACCATCAGGTACCATCCGTCAGAAGTAACTCGAGAGAGAACGGGCGCGTTCATCGAACGGCTAGAAATCAGGAAGAAGTAAGTATTTGTTATATTATTAAGATCGAGAAAATAAAACAAAATTTCTCTCAAAAATAAAGTTAGACAAAAAAATATATATTTTTATGTAATTTTTTAATCTGATATAAAACTCAATTAATAGAAATTCTAGTTACATTATACACATTTCACAAAATATAAATTTATTAGATATTTAAATTTTAGTAAGATTATTTGCTCTCTAAACTACTTTTCTTTCCAAAATTCTAGACGAAGTCTCTGAAGAGACGTTCACCAGCATCGAGTAACAACAATTCCCTGAATCAGCGCGACAACAACAAACGTGCAAACTATGGCACTTCCGGACAGCAGTGCGAGCTCTGCGAACGCGGCGAATTTGCGAACGAGGCCGAGCTGCAAGCACACAAGAAACTGACTCACCAAACGCCTCCTAAACTGTCCAGTAAAAGTTTATCTACCTTGAATACCCTGACGTGCGGTTATTGCGGCGAGGTTTGTCGTTCGCGAAACGAATTAGAGTCGCACACGAGGATCCAACATGCGTCCAACGAGCCCGGCGGACGTCACAAATGCAACATCTGCGACGAGGTATGCTTGTCCAGCACGACTTTGGCCGAACACAAGCTCCAGAAGCACTGCAAGATACAACTGAGCGATACGTGCGTGGTGTGTCGTGGTTGCCTGACCTCGGAGAGTCAATTCCTGGATCACGTGCAAAGGCATAGCTTGGAAAACGTGGACCCGCAACAACGATTGGACAACTCTTTACCTCATTTACCCGCCCCGTGCGTTGTTTGCCGGCAGACGCTGATCAGCGAATTAGAGTGTCGTTTGCATGCACGGCATCATCTACGGACGTCTTCAGGATCGCGCAGCGCCGTTTCTAGTCCGACCAGTCCCGGTGGCGGCAAAACTCAGAGCCAAGGTTGCTGTCTCTGTTTGCGCGATTTTGCTGCCGATGATTTCGTCAGTCTGCCACCCAATCCTGCCAGTACGAGTGGACAACCACTCAAGGTCTGCAAAACCTGCTACATGCGACATTCTCAGGGATTGCCTATCCTGAACTCGACGACCTATGAGCGGGCCAAGTACGATACGACCTGGTTCGCAAGCAAGAATGGTCAATGGGATAGTTCCAAGGACAAATGGGATGACAGAGGACTCAATGTAGAGAATCGATCCAAAAATGAAGGAAACACGGATAAAAAACGCTGTGAGGAGTGCGGGGTGAAATTCGAAGATCCTGAAGAGGCGGAGAAACACAGAATCACAGAACATGAAAAGATTAGCACTAGTGGTTCGAAACCCTCCTATACATGTATACAGTGTCAGGTTAGTGTACAATAATTTGCAATTTTTCAAATAATGTTTAAATGTATATATGTGTAATTCAAGATTATACATGTGCGAAAAAGATCTACTTCTCATCTTCTCTTTTATTAAAATAATAAAAAATTGAAATTTAGAAAGGATTTTTGGAGGATTTCCAGTGAAAATAACAATTTGTGACATTGGATTTTTTGAAAATTATATATATTGTGTGTTTTCACAAAATTATATTTTCAATTGTATTTCCAATCATCACCAGGTATCATTTCCAACCGAAGCCAAAATTCAGCAACATGTGAGAAAGGAACATCTGGAAACATCCAGGAGAGCTTCCTTGGAAGCCTTGCGATGTCATTTGTGCTCATTTGAAGCTGCCAGTCCTATGCAATTGCAAATTCACTTAATAGAACATACTTTTGTTGGCTGCGCTGCGCTCAGCTGTTACCTCTGTCAGTCGCTTTTTACAACTCCTATTGGTCTTCAGGTAATTTAACCGCCAATATGTCTCAAAATAACATCTATTATACGATAACCGAACGACATTCTCGAAAAGGAACAGATAAACAAGTTCGAGAGTAAACATGAAAAGTAATTTGCTCTTGAACTTATTTATCTGTTTCTTTTCATTAAGATGAATGAATTCCTCAAAATCTTGTTTCATACATATGAATAAGATTTGGATTATTTCCCGACTATTGGTGATGCCTTGTCGCATATCTTTCTTCGATTCGTTTTACTATGTGTTTTTGTTTAGATCAGCATCTTTTCGCTGCAAAGAAAAAAACAGAACGGAATTAATGTATGCCGTATAATAGTAATTTGTTGTTTCGTTTTCTCTATTCGGATACAAGTATGCGTTTATTTGCAGAGTCACCTGCTACAGGAACACGGTCTGGGCGCGCGACCTTACGATTGCCGCAAGTGCACGCTCAAGTTCTTCTTCAACGCGGAGCTAGACCATCACATATTGACTTTCCATCGTCCGAGGGATGAGATTCATCCTTCGTCAGTCGAGAATGCTCGCGAGATGAAGAATCGCGAGCCCGACGGCGGTGTAACGGTGAAGGAGGAAGTGATGCAAGGTGGCAAAGAAGAGGAGGAGGAGGAGGAGGAAGTGAACGTGGACGATCAGATAGGACAGGAGGAACATGATGAAGCTAAACGAGAGGAGCAGAAGTTGAAGACGGAAGTAGATATCGAGACGACATCCAACAAAATGGAATCGTGACTTTCTTTGGTCAATATTACATTTCGTTCCGAGCTAGGATTAATTGATTATTAGGAACTTTTGTTAGCCAATCATTAAGTTTTTCACTCCGCCGCTCTCAGCGGCGAATATTCTATACGACGTATGTCTTTTAAATAACAAATAAAGTTCGATACACACTCACGTACACACACAATAAACACATACGCACACACACACACACACACACACACACACACACACACACACACACACACACACACACACACACACACACACACACACACACACACACACACACACACACACACACACACACACACACACACACACACACACACACACACACACACACACACACACACACACACACACACACACACACACACACACACACACACACACACACACACACACACACACACACACACACACACACACACACACACACACACACACACACACACACACACACACACACACACACACACACACACACACACACACACACACACACACACACACACACACACACACACACACACACACACACACACACACACACACACACACACACACACACACACACACACACACACACACACACACACACACACACACACACACACACACACACACACACACACACACACACACACACACACACACACACACACACACACACACACACACACACACACACACACACACACACACACACACACACACACACACACACACACACACACACACACACACACACACACACACACACACACACACACACACACACACACACACACACACACACACACACACACACACACACACACACACACACACACACACACACACACACACACACACACACACACACACACACACACACACACACACACACACACACACACACACACACACACACACACACACACACACACACACACACACACACACACACACACACACACACACACACACACACACACACACACACACACACACACACACACACACACACACACACACACACACACACACACACACACACACACACACACACACACACACACACACACACACACACACACACACACACACACACACACACACACACACACACACACACACACACACACACACACACACACACACACACACACACACACACACACACACACACACACACACACACACACACACACACACACACACACACACACACACACACACACACACACACACACACACACACACACACACACACACACACACACACACACACACACACACACACACACACACACACACACACACACACACACACACACACACACACACACACACACACACACACACACACACACACACACACACACACACACACACACACACACACACACACACACACACACACACACACACACACACACACACACACACACACACACACACACACACACACACACACACACACACACACACACACACACACACACACACACACACACACACACACACACACACACACACACACACACACACACACACACACACACACACACACACACACACACACACACACACACACACACACACACACACACATAGTATTAATTAGGAGTATTATTGAGAAAGATTCATAATTATTCCAGATGATTAGTTTTTTACATATTGCTAATAAAATTTTAATACATAAGATTGCGCGATGCCTTTCTCTGGTAGAAAGATCGTTGGTATCTTGTTTATCCTGAAATTCTTATATATCAATTTCAAATTTGGAAATCGAATATTGATGTTTTCACGAATGTAAGCTTGTTTGCGTTAAGTTTGCCGAGAGTATTCATCTTATTGTTTCGAACAGTTAATATGTGTTCGATCTTAGGATTTTAATTATAGAAATAAAACGTAAAAGTTATTTTTTTCTTTTCTCTACTTCGTCAAAAATTGACCAAGCTGTCTATTTGATCGAAGTTCGCCCAACATTGCTAAAATTAAAACAATCACGTCTTAAATGTATATGCGCTTATACACATATGTGTATATTAAGTTTATAAATGCTGTTAATTTTACGTTATATAACGTAATTATGTTAATATTTAAACTTTAAGAGAAAGGAGAAATGCGATACAAGCCAAATCTTAGATATTGATACACGATTTTATTTTAAATTCTTTATAAATGTGGGATATATATTTTGATTTGTCTTAAGATTATATTCACTCTAAGACAGATTATATCCATTCTAAGGAGATCGAAGTGGGCGAGATAAATACAAAAATAAAATTCGACTAAAATAAAATCAAGGAAAACTTTCAAATCAATTGTATATATTAAATGGCCTGTTTTTCTCTAATTAGTACAACATATTGAGACATCATATTTGTAATGTTGAACTTTCATATTGTATTTGCAATTTTCTTTTTTGCAATTTTCTAATTGTATTTTATTGATTAAGTAATCCCGTAACAATTGATCGCGATTAGCTCTTTATAATTGTTTACAAGTGTTAAACCCAATGAAATGATTATTTCTGTCACAAACCAAGCTTGTAAATATTCTACAAATAATAGGAAAAATACTATTAAATGTTCTATCAATTTATATGTTAATGATCCATATGTGCGATGAAGTTATTTATACAGTCAATTTCCTCTGTTTTAAACTTATCGCATACAGTAGGAAAATGCTGATTCAAAAGAAAGCTGATTTGAAATAGAGAGGGGAATGGACTAGAAAGAGGAAATGGACTGTATTTAAAAAAAGAGATGCAATAACCTGTCCATTAGGCGATATAGTGATAAGATAGAAGTTCTGTATGAAATAAATTATTGTTTAAAATCATATATACGTACTGTATATAATAAATTGTCCATTTTAGCAATCTGAGATAATATTATATACAAATAAATTATTGTTCTAAATCGGGTGGTTTCGTATATCTTGTCAGGCTATTTTCTTTGTGTATATCAGAGCAATCACCATGATGTAAAAAAAATATAATATAAAAAAAATAAAAATATAAAAAAATATATTTATATGAAATATAAATATATTTGATTGGCTGTTTCAAATTCGACCGCCATTATATGTGTGCAATGATATACCTTATATTCTTTTACATCATGGCAATCACATGGCAATCACTTTCAGCGCGTGATGACAGGTGACAGGTGACAGTGCATCAGGCATGAATGAAAATATCCGCGCATGAATGACATTTTTTCAAACTTCAAAAGCGTTTCTACCTGGATCAGGATAACCGACCGCTCTTTTTACCGACGGTCGCAAAAAGAGACGACGTCAAGAACCTACAGTTTTCCATCTTGGTATCATGAGTATCCGTGAATGGCGCTACGTGTGCCTTCTACGTTTGCGCTGGATTCAGCTGTTGTGCGGTATTCGCGTTTCGCGTACGCATGTCGCGAGACTCTCGTTGGGACTTGAGACGCGGAGTTGGAGACAAGGCGAGAGGAGAGAGCACGGAATTCCACCGAGATCCCCGGAGATCCCGGCAGATCCATCACTGACAGTATCACAGCCGACGACGCGATGACGGGGTTCACGGAGAGCGCCTTGGTCAAACGGCTGATGGATCTGAATCCCTCGCAACAGAGCATCCAGACGCTCTCGCTCTGGCTCATACATCACAGAAAACACCATCCGACCATCGTGAAGATCTGGTTCAAGGAGATGTGCAAAGGTACGATTATCCCGTCCCGATTTTCCGTTATTTTTTTTTTTTTTTTCCCTACCGCTGGATCGAAAAGACAATGCTCGAGTTCGACAACGTGGTAGGACGTATCCTCTCCGGCGATCTCCAAACAGAACGAGGTTTGTCGCCGAGGTTTCACGAACATCATTGAAATTTCTAGGTTATACAAATGCACTACATGTAACGCGGATATCGAGATTATGTAGCGCAGCTTCAATTATGTAGCACAAACCGCGAATTGATCGCATCGTCTCGTCGCTTGGAAAATTACCTTCATTAATATAGGATAGTGTGTAGTTCAAATAGATGGTTTCGATGAACTTGATGAATGAGCAATTTGCATTGTTTATTTTTGACTCGTTGGATAAGAATGATATATTGCTTTAAATATTAAACAATATATTTCTGGAAGTATATTTGATATTGTCGCGGTATCTTTTTTTCAAATGGTAATGATGAGACGATAATGTACATTGTAGAAGCGAATGATAGTAGCGATGTATTTGAGACTGTATATAATATATAAATTCTTATTTATGCATATATGTATCATTGTTCGCAAAATATTATCTGTGACTCTGTTCATTTATATGGAAATTGATAGTGCGTGCATATAAATTTAAGTTTTCTGTATATATTTTTACAGTGAAGGACAATCGCAAATTAATGTTTATGTATCTGGCGAATGATGTCATCCAAAATAGCAAGAAGAAAGGGCCAGAGTTTGGAAAGGAATTTGAAACAGTTTTACCAAAAGCATTCGAGCATATGAAAGGTTTTGATGAAAAGACGAGGGACCGGTTAAACAGGTTATTGCAAATCTGGGAAGAGAGAGGAGTCTATGACAAAGCGCAGATATCGGAGTTTAAAGCAGCTTTTGTAACTTCCGAGAAAGATTCTGTGGCACCGCCAAAAAAGAAGGCAAAAATTGAAATAGAGAAAGTAAAGGTATGTTCTCCTTTAAATTATATATAAGAGCTTCTAGTATATAATTAAAACTTTCAATTTGGAAATAATATTAGTATAAAATCAACAGAATTTACTGTTTGCTATACTATATATTTCATAAATTGTCAGATCTCATAATATCTCGAAATATAATCTCAAAATTTCTGGATTTTAAGTTTTAAAACAGTAATTTATTATGTATAAAGAGTGTGCAATTGACATACATTTGTTGTTTGCAGAAGGAGAAAAAGGAAAAGAAAAAGTCGGAGACTGAGATCGAGGTGGATGGCACCAAAGAGCTTCATGTGACATTAAGCCCACGGACCCCTGCTGGCGATCCACCAGAAACCGAGGAACTCATCAAAGCCTTAATGGTTAATTTTATTAATTATACAAGCAACAATCATGATGCGGAATTTGTATCGTTAGCAATAAAATATTTTATTCATATGGAAATACATGTTGAATCCATGAGGCATATCAGTAGACGCTTTGACAATTCTAACACATCCACCCTATCGATTTTGTCTGTTTTGTTTGGTTGTGTTCGCCGCTTTTTTTTTTGGGAGGTCTAAGTAAAATGTACATTTGTGTATCCTTTTTTTCTTTAATTTCTTGAGAATTTCGTTTTCCACGAAGTAACTCAAGTGGATGCTGATTTTTAGCAATTGATCGATGCTTTGCTTCGGTATAAAAAATATTACACTCGCTATTTTTTTGTCAATGCCATACTTTTTTATAAACCTATTTTTTTAATTAATTGCATTGCAGTATTGCCATATATTTTGCTTATTCTCACATGACTAGAGTATGTTGTATTAAATGTAGCGACAGTGAAGGTTTCCGCAATATACGGCGAGTATTTGAAAGACCTAAAACGTTATTATCAGACTAATGCCTTCTGTGCTTTTCAGGATTTGGAAAATACCGCGTCCTCTGATGCCGGTGTTAGGGAACGTATCGCGTCCTTGCCACCAGAAGTTTCGGAGGTCTCGTTGCTCGCGAATCTCGCTGATCGAACGGCCGCGGATCAGTTGAGCGCCGCGGTAAATGAGGCCGCCGCTCTTCTGGCCGACTACAACGGACGGCTGCAGGCCGAAATGGAAGATAGAAGAAGATTACTGACGATGCTGCGAGACTACACTTTGGCGCAGAGACAACTACTTCAGCAGGCACAAAGCACCTTAGAAGTATAATTATCATTTTCTTTTCTGTCCATATCTGCATAAACTTAGCAGTAACAATATAAGTAAAATCTAGAACGTTTTTTGCAATGCAGACATTTTTTTTTTTTTTTTTATTTGTATAGCATATAGTATATGATTCATTTGTTAAAAATATACTGTTATTCATAAAATCAGAGATATTGTCGCAAAGCAAATCAGACTTACAATACCAATTGACTTAAATTGCATTAATAACAAGAATTTTTAATTCCATGTTTCATTGTATTACAGAAAATTACTATTTTTATTCATAGGATTATAAAGAAAAGCTTAAGAAGGTATGTGCGGTTCGATCGGAGGTGAAGTCCCATATTTCGAATCTTCCCGATTTAACGCAATTGCCCGACGTGACTGGCGGCCTGGCGCCTCTTCCTTCCGCCGGAGATCTATTTTCCATGCACTAGTGTAAGTTTGTGACGCGAGCGGCGTTATATAGTTTATCACTTTAGTTTGCGTGAATAGACGAAAGTTTGAGATCCATAGTATGAGAGTTTTATACGACGGCGATGAAGGAACAAAGGATTATCGTTGATGATAACTTTGTACTGTGGAATATTTGATAAATCTAATGTATAACGAAAAGCCCCATACATATATGAGCGTAAAGTATGAAACGGGGAAATATTAATAAATGAGACGAGACTGGAGTTATACTGAGGCTGAATGATACCGAGTGATAATGAATGCAAATGAATATCTGGGTGATAAGGGTACAGCATTACTACATACGAAAAATTTGCATTGTAATTATGGATTTTATACTTTAATTGATGGATCGCTCAGCTCCTTTTTGAATTCTTTTTGGCAAAACAGTATGTACTATACATCTGTTTACGGCTAACGTAAAAACATTTTTACGAGATTACTCGCTGCACGAAGAATCCTATGTACGGTAACATGGTATGAAAAACTCAAAATATTTCGTAAAATTTGTACGATTTATTCTGTATCCGAAATTGTACTCTGTATCGTAAACTAATTGGTTTCTTGAATTGATTATGTGAAGACGCTATATGCACACATCATCGAATCTATTGTGCATAACATTATGAAAATCATAAAATGCTTATAAATGAAATAAGCAGAATCATATAAAGATGCTTCTAAATGATAAATTACGTGAAAAATTCACAACGCCTCTTACGAAACCACGCGAAATTCATATGACGGGCTAGCCGAGACTTTCCACTGAGTGTTGATAAGGACATCTATATATTTACGATAGGATCTTTCATTCTGGAATTTTTGAAATCGATCAGAGTAGAAGAAAAAAAGAGGATCCAGAATAGAAATGTCCTATTGTATTTCTAAAAGCGATAGGGTCTTGCGTACCAGACCTGTGTATAATTGTTAGGGACGTTTTATTACATATTTTTCAATTAAGTAATCATTGTTTATCGGCGCGATATAATGAAGATAATACTCCAAGATCGGGTAACTATCACATGTATATACGCTGTAGTTTAGTACGATTTTTCTTAGAACTGACGAGACGGTCTTCGTAAACATCCGATTGTAAACGAACGGTAGTCCTCATAGATAATATTGTAACTATTTTAAAAAGACAGATTGCGTGACTGTGCATATTAAAAAAGAAAAAAAGATTGTAATATGCAAAATATTAAGAATAAATGTTTTGATCGTTATATATACTGTGACTTTCTAATTTTTACATCCCGTAAAATTGAAATGTATGTTTTTAGGTAATTTTAAATCCTACACAAAAATAACAAAATTTATGATACAATATTATATTAATCTAATCAATCTGTAATACAATTATTGATTTGAACTACATTTAAAATACACTTATATACACACGAGTATATATTTATTAAAATAGTGTATCGAGTACGTTGATAGATTCAACATATATCATCATTAAGCGTATACTATAAAAAATAAATCGATTTTCTTTCTGCTTTCTTTTTCTATATTATCATGAATAGATCTAATTATTATATACTTTCCTAGATATAATAACATATCTTAGAGATCATTATATGATAATATACATATATCAAAATTGGAACAATATACAAAAGATTAGCATGCCCCTGTCTAAGGACATGCAAAAACGTGTGTGAAGGGTTCCAATATATGTATATACTTATTACACATTATGTTGAAGTACACAAACTTATATGCACTATAAAGGATCATATATATATAATTCAACAGAATTCTAGTAAGTCTTAAAATATACAAATCCAAACTTCTGTCATAATTTTAATATATCTCATAATATAAAAAAAATTACAATATATATACATACATATATTTTACATTAATATTTATTTTTATTTATAGGAATAAACATTTTTTAAGTCTCATGAGGATGTGGAGATCTAGTGGGCTTCAAAATCAATTTTCCAGTATCGTCACAACTCATATTAAAATCACCAAGCACGCTTCTGGCTCGTTGAGTTATAATACTGGGCGCTATCACTCTTCTATGCACTCCCATCATAAATAATATCACTGTAATAATAATTTCTTGATACAATAGCAATACATTATGTGAAATATGCACAGACGTAATTTCTATACTTACCTAATATTATACTAGCCATTGTAAAGAATGGATGATTGCATAAACTCTGCGTAAAGGATACTGCTGATGTATTGGGATCTGTCAGCCAATGCCAAGCACCGATAGCGGTGCAGATGGAGATTAAACCCAACAGCACTGCAAGATTATCAAAATATATATTATTAAAGTGATCAGCAAGACAAAGAATTACAAGAGAGTATAAAAAACTCCTAATTGATTTAGTAAAACAATTCATTGAATTGTTTGATTAAATCAAGACAATAAATTAATATAAAAAAATTATGAGTCAAAGAATATTTGTTACGTTGTAGTAATTATAAATAGATTGCTACTATAGCTTCTGCGAAATAAAAGCTGCAATAAACTTTTGCATAGCGAAAGTAAAGAACATACTTCTCCATCGTGTGGTGGCTGGTTGTAGACTAGCAATAACTTCGGTGAGTCGCCTTTCGAAAGCTTTCAGGTCTGAAAGTAAAAAACAGGAATTAAACTTGTGAGGCAGATAACCTCAAAATTGTCGATTATTTATCCAAGAATCAGTCAGACAATTGGATATGGTTAAACTTTCTCTCTTAATCCGTCATCTTTTATTTAAGATTATACGAAAACAATTACATTAATTAATTAATGTTTACATGTAAAGGGACATTTTTTAACGTTAAGTATTTTACCTTCACAGACTGTCTGGTCCAATGACATGATTGTTTATCGAATTAAGATATTCATCTGCCCGGAGAAATCAGAAAAAATATGTGCGATAAGTGATAATGATTGACGGATAAACAATGCACTGTATAAACGAGAAATAATCCATATTTGTGTCAGGAATATCAGGATAGAGACGATGGTATCGTAAATTAAATCGTAACATAGGGGTGCCAACTTGACACTTGACACTGTCTGGTCCAATGACATGATTGTTTATCGAATTAAGATATTCATCTGCCCGGAGAAATCAGAAAAAATATGTGCGATAAGTGATAATGATTGACGGATAAACAATGCACTGTATAAACGAGAAATAATCCATATTTGTGTCAGGAATATCAGGATAGAGACGATGGTATCGTAAATTAAATCGTAACATAGGGGTGCCAACTTGACACTTGACACATCCGCGGCAAAAAAAAAAAAAAAAATTCTTGAAATAATCGAATCATCTCGCGAACCTTTATGCGATAGATAATGTATATCGATACATTTTCAAAATTGATCATTGTTATACAGAGAGAAAGAGAGAAGGATTGGAAAAAAATAATAGAATATTATTTTGTAAAATTAAATGTTTTTTAAAAAATTAAAATTTTCGTATAAATAAGGTTACATTTTTTATTAATTCTTTCCAATATTTTTGTCTTAGATAAGAGAGAAATAAGAAGAGATTTAAGAATTTTTAAACTATAATCACATTATATAGACATATATGAATATACATATAATATATGGAATTTTATATACATGGATCTTTTTCTCCTTAGGTGTTTATAAGTTGTACAGCAATCATACGTGAAAATTGAGAGATGAGTTGTAAGAACAATTAATTTTTAGATGGTAATTTTCACTATCTTTTTTATACGACATTGCCAAGTTTCTGCGTCACCAATAATTTCTCTGCCACAATAATCATGCTGTGATAACAATAGTATAAATATATCTTATTAAATAGTCAAGCGACGCGGTAGCGTCGCGACGCCAACTATATATAAAAATTCGTTCCAGCTTGTCAACGGTTTGCCTATGTACAGGGGCCGCGACGCTACCAAGTAGCTTATCCGGAGTTTTACGTCTAATAAACTTTCGATTAAAATTCCTCAGGAACCAAGCCGTTAATCAAAAATCTAACGGCACTTTTCTTATACAATGTGGATGCAAGCTTTCGATTGCGACCAGTTTGAATAAGATTAGTGCAGTCAATCCTGAGGAATGATAATCGTATACCAGAAATGTGACATTTTTCGTTCTTCATCATTATCATAATAAGATAAGTTTCAGACTCTCACATACGTATGCTCGCACGCACACACGCAAAACGAGTTTGTCCCTCAAGGCGTTTGTAATACAAATCTAGTTTACATTAATTACAATATACTCCTTTAACATTTGCTTAAACGACACAATTCTTTCATTCCGTTTTATTTCAGCTGGCAAGACGTTATACATTTTCACTCCTTCGTAAAACATACTCTTTTGCGCACTCTTTGTTCTGCGATATTTTATATTAGTGATATATAATATTTATAAAATAATTATAATGATAATATAATATTAGCAATAGAGTACACACACACACACACACACACACACTCTCTCTCTCTCTCTCAAGCTTACTTAAAATATGATTTATCTAAGAATCATAATTTGACAATCATGTAGTATATAAAAGATATTCACGCAAAATGCTTATAACCAGATAAACACACGAAGGATAAACGACGGAGGAGCAAAAGGATGGGCTCACATGACCAAATCTAGGGTATTCACTCGACAACGTGTTCACCTGGAAAGGGGGAGGGTGGAGGAGAGAGGGAGAGAGAGGGGGAGAGGGGGAGGGGGAGAGAGAGAGAGGGAGAGAGAGAGAGAGCGGGGGAGAGAGAGAGAGCGGGGGAGAGAGAGAGCGGAGGGGGGAAGGGGAAAGAGAGAGGGGGAGGAGGAAGGGGGAGATACTTTATATGTATATTTATACTCTTTATTTATACGGTACACTTTGTACTATTATATATTATTCGGCATTTTAAATGCGCCGAAACCGTGAAGACTATGTCTTCAAGAATATATCAGGCGTCCAAAACGTTTGTATCCATTCTACTCTTTTTAACATTAATTGTTAATTACAATTTATTATTAATAATAGAATGTTTACTTTATTCGCAAAAACTATGCAATATCGTGGTACTTAAATGCAATAGGGAATTATATGCCATGTATATACGAAATATTAAGACATTAATAGTACAATTGCGTTATCATAATCGTTATATATAAAAAAATTTTGATTTTTGATTAGACTTGAGATATTTGTAATCGAATTTGCATCAATCATCTTCAAAAAATGAAAATACTTTCAAATATTTTTTTTCTAGAATTCGTATAATGCAAGTTTATATATATAAATTGCATATGTGACATACATTTCATAAAAATTATATAAAAAGTAATAACAGTCTTGTGTAAAAAAAAATATTTTATATTTTTATTTAAAAAATATATTATTAAATTCATTGACAAAATATCCATTGTATTTTGTGAAACTACTAGTACACTATATATATGTATGCAGGAATTTATTTTGTAACAAAACATGCAGATAAACACATTCGAATAATCAATCTTTGTTCAATTTTTGACATTTAACCTTATTCAAATACAAGGCAATTTATTTCCATGCTCTTTTCTGAAGAATTCTTAGCATTTACATTTACATTTAACGCCAAGTTATACTTTAACCAAATAAACAACTTTTATTTTACTATCATTTCTTTTAATATTTCTTCTTTCTATAATTTTTTTTTATAGAATTTCTTCTATAGAAATCGTAAAAAAAAATATCAATTTATTAATAAATTTATTGTAAAGGGAGAATTAAATTTCAGGACGAAGCAAGAAGATCTCGAGAAGCGAGATAATCAGAAGATTTGCATAGAGTATAGAACATTATTAATTCGACGAATTGCAATCATAACGAAAACTGTTAATTTATCATTTGCATGACGGTTACGAAGCACTTCTCAAGGTTTCTTTTAGCACAACACGTAGTAGATAGTATACATATACATGTACAAATGCAATAAAAGAATATATGTTTATTTATCTTTTCAGACAAAGACAATCATCTTCATCAGATTTATTATCTTCAAAATATTATCACATGGGCATATTACAAAATTTTATGCAAAAATGAATTAATGATTATTATCATAAACTAATTGTATATATTTTGTGTCAACGGTTAGACATTTTTTATTACGAAAAATAATTTGTAAAATGCTTAATTACGAATCGGTAGTTATTTTTATAGACGGAATTGAGCGAAAAGAGTCTCACCAAAGCAAAATGCTTAAACCCATTCAATCCAGCGATCTCTCAAGAACGTTTCGCTTGTAAGCACAATAATTTTTTTTTTCGCGTCTTACGAAAACTTGTCTAGTCGCGACGAAAACACTGCTCCCGAACGTAATTTACATGTTAAAGTTAACTAATCAGCGCCTGTCTACAACGGGAAACAGAGAAGGTACGACGGGGGTCGGAGTAGCGAGACGGCTTTTTGGTGTATAGACAGGCGCTGATTAGCTAACTTTAACATCACATAACAACGAAAAGAAAGCTCAGATCAAAAAATGGTTCAGGACTTTTCGATTTGAATTGTTGCTCTGTATCTGATAGTGTTGTCCATATGCGTTTGTTTACTTACACCCTGTATAATACGAAAAGTTTCTAAGAATTATCTTTCTCCTTTATCATTAAATTTTAGAGATCTTTGTATTTTTTGTGACAAGTAACTAACTACAGTATTTTCGGGAGAAGTCTAATACGAAGTTTGTGTCAAGATTTAATGCTATTCCGCTTTAGTTGCAACTATATACTAGTTACATCTGTTAGCTATATTATATATATTATACAAGTTTGGAAATATTAGTAAAAATGGCAAAGTTTCATTATAATTATAATTATAATTACATGTAAAAATTAATTCTATATACAAAATAAATAATATATAAGTAATGTTGAATCTCATCTTATCTTCAGCCAAAAT